TTTGCTTATATTTATCTACTAAAACCTAGCCTAACCCCAATATAGAAGACCCTAACCCTAAAGTTAATCAAAAAAATATGAGTTGCCTCCGCTTTAGACGTCCCCCTAATTTGGGGATCATCTAAAGCCATGCTGTAATATCGATATGTCTTATTTATATTAATACGTACGATGTGTCAATCATTGAATCACTACTGCATTAAGAACGGACTTAAGTTATTTTTCAATCGGTAGAGATTGAAAGATAACACATGTCAACAAGTTTTATGATCGACTCCCATACCATATTAATCTGCACAGTCATACAATACGTACTGATCTGCTATAATCCCAAATTAAAAAAGAAACCATAATTATAATTATTTCTATACAAATTTAAGAATTTTAGATCGTGGCCTCACCTTTGAAGATTAAAACAAAAAAAAGAAAAAAAAAAAGAATTTTAGATCGTTATATCTAAGAGTAAGAAAATGTTGAAGGGTGATTTTTTCAAATTCTACAATGGATAATCCGGTAAAATTATATAACCTCGGTTAATCAGTTTTTAAAATATATGCAAATTAACGTAAGAATTTTAATATAAAATGATCGATAATTTCTACGCAAAAAAAAAATAATAATAAAAAATACTGGCAAATTGTATTCACTTAATATTTAATACTCAAAAATGTATTACTACTTAGCAATTGTTGCATTTGTTAGCTACTTTCTGTATAAATGTTTAATTCATCCTTTATATTTGTCGCCATTAAGCAAAATTCCTGGCCCACCTGTTAATAATATATTGCTTGGACATCTTTTCTCTTTATTAAAAGACCCTTCTACAGCCCTTTTTCACTTATCAAAACAATATGGTAGACTATTTAGATTTCATGCCTTATTTAATAAACCACATGTGTTAATTTCCGATCCACAACTCATTAAAACAATATTTATTAGTCGTGTGTATGATTTTCCGAGATTCGATATTATTAATCCTACATACGAGGATTTAATTGGTGATGGCATTATACTTGCTGAAGGAGATTCTCATAAACGACAAAGAAAAGTATTATCTCTTATATTTTCTTTTGTCTATATTAAGGTATTCTTTTACGACAATTAATGATCTATTAAAAAGTTAATTCGTATAATTACATATAACAATTTTAACTTTTCTAATTTTAAGGAAATGACTCCAACATTCGTTCAAGCTGGACATAATTTAAAAGCTATCTGGATGAAAGAAATTGGTAATAAGAGAGAGGAAAGAATTACGATTTCAGATACAATTGCAGATATAACATTGGATGTTATTGGCCTTGTTGGCAAGTATTAGTTTATATTCGTACTATATGCTAAGTTTTTTTTAATAATGCTCCTAATAGTAACAGTAATCATATTATTTATTGTAAATAGGATTTAACTACAAATTCAATTCTACAACTACAGAGACTGAATTAGCTAAAGCATACGATTTCGTAACTAAGCAAAATCCAACGCCTTTATACGTTTATCTTTGCAGATTTTTTCCGTTTATCAGAAAATTGCCAACGAATGATAACTATAAATTTTATGATGCTGTTAACACTATCAATAATGTTTCCGAGAAATTACTTGCTGATCAAAAAAATAGTCCTGTTCAAGGAACAGATTTATTGTCAATATTGGTAAAAGCAAATTATCAATTACCCGTTAATGAACAATTAACTCATCGTGAAATAGTTAGTTCGGTAAGGATTAATTAATAATTTTATTTAAACTTTTATTTAAATTATTTGAAAGGAGCAATATATTTGTAGCCATGGCTTCTGTAGCCGCATCCCATAAAAGCCAATCAAATTTAAAGATCAGGTGTAACGTAACACAATCAGGAAAATTCAAAACCTCAAAATTGAGTATATGAAACTACTCTTTGGGTTCTAACAAAAAAAAAATTCCTTGCGAAATTTTACTATACAACACACCGCATATTATCTTTACCTCACCCTAACCATAACAAAAAAAGGGTTATTTTAGTTACGGCTACGGTAGCCTTTGGCTACAAATATCTTAATCCTATTTGAAAAATATGAAATTATTTAAAATATATAAAATATATATAATTTTATTAAATTTGCTTAAAATTTAAATCTAATAAATTTCAGGTTATGACATTCCTTATGGCTGGACACGATACCTCCACTGTTGTATTAGCTTGGGCATTATACTTTCTAGCAAAGAATCCTGATTTTCAAGATCGTCTTCGCAAAGAATTACTTGATATATTTCCCGATCGTGATTATCATCCAACTTTTGATCAAATTGAAAAATTGAAATTTTTAGATTGTACCGTTAAGGAAACTTTAAGATTCTTTCCGCCTGGTAAAGTTCAATATCTCTTTATATTTTGGAACTATTAATTACCTATTTTATTCTAACTCTAATTTATATGAATTAAAGTTCCTATACTCGCTCGTGTTAATAAAAAAGATGAAATGTTTAATGGTTGCTTTATTCCAAAGGTATTTTCTTAAATGATTTTACCTAGTACAATTTATTTGATAAATAATATTTTATATAACTTTAAAAAAAAAATTTTTTTAGAATACACCATTGATTATCTCCGTCTACGCAATCCATCATGATCCCTCAATTTGGGGTGATGATGCTGAATATTTTAACCCATCTCGGTGGCTCAATCCGGAAATAGCATCAAATATAACCACATATAATTTCTTACCTTTTGGCACCGGTGCAAGAACTTGTTTGGGAATAAAAATGGCAGTTTTAGAACTTAAATGTATGTTAGCTGTGCTTATTAGAAATTTTGAGTTTAAATTAGTTGAAGGTTTTACTTTTGGAGTGAAATATACGACTGTAGCTAAACCTCTTCCCGGAATTGATCTATTGGTTTCAAGAGTAGATTGTTAAAATTAAGTAGTACTATTATATTAGGGTAGGGACTTGGTTTTTCTAAGGTGCCAAACATTTTTACATAGCATTCTATTACAGCCAATCCTCCGTCCAATCACCTCCATACAATCACAAACTCTATATAGTCACACTATATTATGTTATATACTAGAGGTCTGATCCGATGAATAGTATATTCGAATATTCATTGAATATTCGAATATTCAAATAATAATTTTTTTATCAAATTGAATATTCAAATTTTAATTTTTCACCAAATAATCTAGTGAATATATATATAATTAAATTTTTTTTAATTAACCAATTAGAATAAGAAATTAGATTAATAGTTTTAATATATTTAATTTATTTCTATTAAATTAGTTTATAAGTATAAAAATTTTAGTAATTTATTTATTTATACATATATATTTATTATTATAATATACAGTATTTTTTTTTATCTTCAAAGGTGAGGCCATAATATACAGTATTTGTTTAACTTTATATTAGTTATTTATTAGAATTCTTATAAAATAAAATATAAACTTATAGACATTATAGGACAACTTTTTCTGATGATCTCTTGGTCAACAACAAAATAAACCAAATTACAGAAAAACACTATAAGAAAGCAACAAAGTAGATACAGTAATACTCTTGGTTTATACAAACAAACTTGCTGTTGATAAAGCTATTATCTATATGAAACACTGAGGAGCAAGTGTATTATAATAGGCAGGTTGTGTTTTTAAATCAAGTTTTTTAGTAGATTTTTTCACACTTTTAGTATTCAAACCAGAAGTGTATTTTGAAAGCAATGTTTTTGTAAGTCCCTAGTCAAGAATATTTAGAAACTGAACTATATAACTGTAAAACTTACAAAAAAAATCTCACATATTTTTGTTGATTTACCACTTTTTTTCAAGAAAATTTTTGTAAAAAGTGGGTAATTTAGGTTACTACCTCCAAAAGATCGACATTATGTACACCAAAACAGTTAGTATTGTTTATCTTTTAAATTGGTATAACAAGATAACAAACATATTAAAGCATATATTTTGAATATAACAAGCTGATTAAATAATGATTTGAGACTAATCTGGCTTGAGTACCAATCTATCTATCTAATCTGGTTAAAGAAGTGTTTTTCCAATAGTTTTTTAAACTTAGATATATTAATAAGCAAATCACAAGTTATCTAAACAAAATATTTTTTTATATATATAAATTTTACTATAAGTGTGAATATAGAGTGCACCTATCTAAAACATTTTTTTTTACTAAGTAAATCATTCTTGGACTTGTAATAAAAGTTGTAGAGCTTATCAAAAGGCATCTAATGGTAGTAAGAATATTAAAATTGGCTTAGTAAAAACTTTTTTCTTATATATATAAAATTTTTTTAAAAAAATTAAATTTTTTTAAAGAAATTTTATATATAAGAAAGAAGTTTTTTAAAGATTTCTCAAGAACTACCAAGCCAATTTTAACATTTTTACTATTATTAGATGCCTTTTGATGAGCTTTACAACTTTTGTTACAAGCCTAAAAGTGATTTATTTAGTAAGAAAAAAAGTTTTAAATAAGTGTACTCAGCATAATTTAAGTTCTATTTTATTGGCTACAGATATGCAGCCTGCCAATCCTGATTTCTTAGTTCATGATTGGTTAATAAATTTTATAAAATTGAATAAATTTCACTTAATGGTTAAAGTTCTAATGCGTGTGAAATTTTTGGTGTAAAGGCGTAAAGTTTATTATTAAAGTTTTTGAATCTAATTTTTTTTTTTGAAGTCAAGTTTCATTAAGGTTTAAGGTTTTGCTAAAACAAATTTTTTTAGAACAAGTTTGTTCATCAAATTTCTCCATGATAACGTAAACAAATCTTGTTATATAGTATAGGAAGCTTTAACTCTCCAATCACGTAATTTTGTTCACTTTTTTATTCATAGTAATCTTAATGGAATAAACTAGAAATAGACAGTCATTTAATCTAAAATACAAGTATATGCTAAAAATAAATAAATTTTCTGCCCGGTTAGCTCCGATAGTACTAAATTTTATAAAATTTAGTATAATACATGGTCTGTATAAAGTAATCTGATTGGTTGAAAAGTGAAAACATATACGTTCACTTTTTTACAATTTTTTAATAAATAGCCAAATTTTAAAAGGCTACTGCTCTATCAGTTTAGATTTAAATCTAAATTTAAACCACAAGTTTTGTTCTTAAAGGTAAAAAAAACTAATCTTGTAGATTAGTTTTATATTTTATATATTTTTTAAAGAGGAGTAGCATTTTTTGTAAAGCTATTTTTTATAGAGATTTAAAGCTTCTCACACCATAACAAGTTTTGCCATAAACAATCCTGTAGTGACAAGTTTGCATAATTAAGCTTAAAATTAACTGTGATAAGTCTTTCGTTAAATCATATTAATGATAATATAATAGATGTTTATAGAAGTTTATAAGACTAACTACAGATTACTCCCATTAATATCAACCTCTTTAATATCAACCTAAGCCACAAAATAGTTTTTTATAAATTTTGATATATCAAAATTCCTTTATATATATCAACTTTAATATAATTTTTTGTTAATATCACTATCAACATGATTTAAAACCAATTCAAATAGATTGATATTAATGAGAATAACCTGTATATTGATATTGAAACTAACAAAAAAAAAATAAATAAGCCAAACTATATAAATGACAATTAAGAATTTTGGACTCTGATCAGTTATTGATTGTACGAATATTAATATAAAGTTTCGTATAATTACTGAACTTGCATATAATAAATGTAGTAATAAAGGAACATTAGAAGTATATCCTTATCTTAAGGTTGGAGAACAACTCTGTCACCTACATTATTATAAGCTTGTGGAATCAGATAGAGATTAATAGGGGCATAAATTAAAAAAAATATAATCAGACAGAAGAAATATCAGAGCTAATAAACTCTTTATTAAACAAAAATGATAATATACAGTCGACTCTGGTTAAACTAAACCTCTCTAAACTGAACACTTAATAAATTCTCTAAGAACTGAACGAAAAACTTTAGAACATTTGTAAATTTTATTATAAAGTTCAGATTAGCAATATATAACTCTTTGAGAACTGAACTTTTAAAAATTTTTACATATAAAAATCTTTAAGTACATTTTTTTGCGGAATAAACAGAGTAGTATATTTATAAATTGAAATTATATTTTTTTACATAATTAATTTTATTTTTTATAAAATAAATAGATTACATTTGCTTCAGACATAGAGATGCTGACAAAAGCATTGTATCATCACTAATATTGGGAATGTATTAGTTTGAAATTAGATCTAACAAAATTTAAACAAATGATTGAAGCTATTAATCCTGAGTTTAAGAGTTTTTTTAGCTATATGACAAACTCAATTATTCCAAAAGAATGCTCCACTTACAATGCAAATGAGACCAAAAAATCTATAGTTGGATTATATTATACAATCACAGATTTACACAAATTTGTTAATCAATTTAAGTTGAAAGTCAGTTTATATTTGATGGCTTCAGGTGCAATATGAGAAGCTGTTGATACAATGTCAAAACTTAAGTATTCGGTCTGTGTCAATATAGTAGAAGCATATAGAAAACAGATTAAAAAAGAACATATAACAAAAATTGAAAAATATTTTTTAGAAAATATAATTATATAAATTTTTATTTTTATTTTTTTTAATTTTAAAAGGTGAAACCATGCATCTAACTTTATTAAAATTCAATTGAGTTCTTTTACATGAATTATATACAGGAAAGAAATTACATTTGAAAGTTATATCCAGTGGATGCTAAGATTAGAGACTCAAACACAATGTTATAATAACATAATTATCTGTGGCCTAAACCTATCAAAGTGGCCAAAGCTTACCTAGATTTGAGGATTTAGAAGTATATTATGAAAGTTAAGTTGGAATCTAATCCATTTTGAAAGCTATAGTTCAAATTTGTAACTGGCAATTGAATAAAGTGAAGACTGGGTTTGGAAAGATAAAATGAATAAAGAGGGTAATAGGGAAGTAGAAATATTAGCTTAGGATTTGGAGATGCAGTATAGAATCCAAATAGAGGTATAAATTTGTTTATTGAGGTGTAATAAGAATTTGATAGCAAGAGATATTGCAGTTTTGTTAGATGATGTAATATTAGTAAGAACTAATATAAGTTCAATAGGAATAAGGCCTGAGAGTGTTGATAAAAGAGATAGTGAATTAGATAAGTTGTGAATTTGCATACACTAAAGGTTCAAGATTTACTGGTGTATCTTAGAGATAGATTCACTTGGAGAGTCAAAACTTGATGAGTTAATTGTTGATTGAAGTGAGCTAGAAATCAAGTTTTTAAATAACTGTGAGGTTAGACAAGCAACCCAATGAAGCATAGTACTAACTTGGTTGCATTGGTGGCATACTGGTAGATATGCAGAGTTATGTTTGTGTAGAACATGTGGAGTAGACAATTCATCAAGCAGAATTTTAATGCGAAATAATTTTAAGGTAGATGATTGAAAGCTGTGTTAATAATTAGATATTTTTTGGTTTTTATTAATGTATAGCCAGGTAGCTTGCCAGTAAATTTGACTAAGAACTTGGGACTACTGTTGAGCTCGGCTTTGGGATGATCAGAGAGCATATATTTAGGCATGACAGATTGTACGAATATATCGTTGGATTGGTAGTTTGATAAGAAAGTTGTCGAGAGCAAAAGAATGGTTAGAGTTGTATATATTATATAATTTAAATATTAAATAAGATGAGTTAAGATAGTTTCAGACCAGTTAGTCAGCTTGGTTATTGAATTCATCATCTTGGTGGGCATCAACCTTGTGGAAGTTGACTTGTAGATTGTAAAGTTGATAAAACTAATTAAAGTATACCATAAAGAGTAATATGGTGTGTGTATAAGAGATTGAGCTAGAATAGCTTAATTAGTATTGTTGTACTTAGATATTACAGACTGTGATTCTGTATA